AAAAAAAAAAAAAAAACATTTGTGTATGGACTGTGTTGGAATGGTTCTGATATGTGGGATGTTCGAGAATTGTTAAATTTAATTTCAGTGAAAACTTTTTTATCAAATTTTTCGAATCGGGTTTCGGCAAAGGAAAATTCGGAAGAAAGCACGTTTTAACGTTCAATATTAAATCTTGAAATTCAAATGCCGAAACAATACATTTGAATTAAGTGGAAAATTGTAATAGTGTAACGTTGAGTGAAACGATAAAGTTTGTTACGTAATTGCAATTCAAGAAGCGCAAAGAGACGTTTGTTTTGCCCTCAATATCACTTGAGTCACGAATTGTGAAATTGATCAAAGCAGTTTCGGTTAAAGAAAGCATCTTGAAACATCCTTTATATTTAGCAGTTGTATTGAAATTTACATCGTTAAATTTTTATTTCTTGTTCGTATCACGTAAATTTGCGTTATGTAAATTGTATTACTTCGACTTGCAGATGCTTTTCGCGTTATAAAGTGACCCTCGTCGAAAGAAGCTGTACACTTACGATGGGCAAGCTTTTGAGTCTTTTGGCTCGAGACGAGTCTACCTGTTGCACGCCTCAAAAGTACGACGTCTTCTTAGATTTTGAAAGTAAGTTGACATCAATTACTATTCATGGAAACTTGACGTATTAATTCTTAACACTGTCTCTTTCCATATTAATATTTTTTTCATCCGATCTTTCATCAAACATACTTAAATATCTCCTTTATAGAATAAATACATAATAAATTTTATACAATAAAAAAATATATGTTTTAATGATTTCTATTTTGCGCTACGTTTACTAATTTGTTCTATATCGTCTGTTTTCAGACGCACAACCCTCGGATCTCGAACGTGAGACATTCGAGGCGGTGCAGAGAGTGCTGAAAAATTCAGAATCCATTTTGGAGGAGATACAATGTTACAAAGGAGCCGGGAAAGAAATTAGGGAGGCGATTTCGGCGCCCACGGAGGAATGTCAACGAAAAGCTTACTTAACCGTAGCACCCCTTGTCGCGAAACTCAAACGATTCTACGAGTTTTCTTTGGAACTCGGTACGCTTCATTAATCATATTAACGATAATAATTTTCTATAAATACTAACTTATACTTTGTTTCCCGTAAACTCGATATCGGCGTGAATATTGGCAAAACTTCAACCTACACCAGCAAATTGCTTTCAGCCACGCCGGTAGCTTGAGTTTTTAATTATGTTAAGTATCGATGGTTATTGGAAATATGCGCGCAGAAAAGACATTTAAAAATGGCAATTTCTAACTTTTATTATTTTTAATGCATGTTTTTGCAAAAAAGTTATTGCAAAGGCACAGCAGCATTGATATTAAATATGCATTATTTATATTTTATTCGTGTAAATGTTGACAAAAATTATTACAAACAGTCTTAAATTATTCATATTAATGATTGATCAGAAATTAGTTTTTGATTATTAAACATTTTTATTTGTCAATTATATTACGCGTTACTTAAACAATTAATTGCTGCACGTTTTGTTAATAAAATAACTAATCTGTTTTGCATTAATTTTGATGTTTGGTTCCATATAATAAATTTTTGTTATTTATTCACAAATGCAGAAAGGGTCGTGCCGAAAATTCTGGGACAATTATGCTCGGGAAATCTTTCGCCGACCCAGCATTTAGAGACGCAGCAGGCTTTAGTCAAGCAATTGGCAGAGATACTGGAATTTGTATTGAAGTTCGACGAACATAAAATGAAAACGCCGGCGATACAGAACGACTTCAGCTATTATCGAAGAACGTTGACAAGAGCGACACTGGCGCATCAGGATAACGCCGAGAAGGACCTAGTCGTCGGAAACGAGCTCGCCAACCGAATGTCCTTGTTCTACGCCCACGCGACACCCATGCTTCGAGTTCTGAGTCACGCGACCATTACTTTCTTGATAGACGTAAGTGGTATAGCCTCTCGACATTGTTCTCGTCCGCACGACCTCCTATTGTAGCTCAGACAATTATTGATCCGGCCAGATACTAACTGATCGCAATTAGGTGAAATTCTGCGGTTATCCAGGCCTTCTCGATGTCGATCCCTTATTCTGATTAATTATTCCGATTACCCCTTCAATTAAAAAGTAATCCTCTGTTCCTTCCCAAACTATACGAGATATCTATAAAATTATTATTTCTTTTTACTAAATTCGAATATAATAAATTCCAATATATAAATCTTCTCAAAAATCGCAAATATAAAACCGTTAGCTAATAATTTTAACATTTGTATTAATAATTATAAGACTTTCAAATTCAACAACGTAAAATTAAAAAGATTGATAAAGTGTATGACAAAGCAACATTTGTTTCATTCGCTTAACAAAATTTTTAATCAAGTTTTGTGTACTGATTACCTTGACACAAATATATTTTTCCAATGCAATGGATTATCGGGTTTTACTTGTGTTCATCGCGATGACAACCGCGTTACGTGATCGGCATGAAATATAATGGCCAGACGGACAGAAAAATTTGTCGATGAGAATAATGAGTTTGCTGAAGCAGAAAATTGACAGGTATTCTCTGACTGACGATTTAAATTACCCGAGCTCTACATCGACGAGACAAATAAACGTGACATGACGAGTAATCCGATATATGCGCGAGCTATTAATTAAAATCGATAACAAAGTAATAAGTCTAATAAAAAACTGAGTAATGTTTTTGGTTTGTACAAAACAAAAATATGTTTACGGTATGTTTTTGAAAAACAAACTCTGCAATAAAAATGTATTAAAGAACGAAAATTATATAAAAAATGTTCGTAAAAAGATTTAGAAATAGAAACTGTCGTTTTCAATGATACATTTCTAATTCGTAAAATATTCTTTTTAGAACGAAGATATAGCGAGAGAGAATATTACAGAAACACTTGGTACAATGGCAAAAGTGTGTCTTCGTATGCTGGAAAATCCGTGAGTACTATTTTCATCGGAATGCAAAGAGAACTTTGCCTCAAGATATTAGGAATTTCTTCTAAGCTAATTCGGGAAATATCTTTTCTCAGGAATCTGTTGGCGCAATTCCAACGAGAGGAGACCCAACTCTTTGTTTTAAGAGTTATGGTAGGTCTAGTGATCCTCTACGATCATGTACATCCCCAAGGTGCCTTTGTAAAGGGTTCGAACGTGGATGTAAGTATAGAAAAATGCATCAAACTTTTCAGTAAATTAATTTTAGCGCAATCGACAGGTGTTTTTAATGTGCGTCACACTAATTATTTCAATTAATTTCATTATTGCATCTACTGGATAATAAATATTATATAATTTGCAAAAATGAGAATGTCATTTTATCAATATTTGCAATAATTTTACGTATTGTGATCTCTGAACAGGTCAAAGGCTGTGTGAAACTATTAAAGGATCAGCCGCCTTGTAAGAGCGAGGGTCTCCTGAATGCCCTTCGCTACACTACGAAGCACTTGAATGAGGAGAACACACCAAAAAATATAAAAAACCTGCTGGCCGCATGATTACCGAAGCAACGCGGCTGCTGCATCAGAAGTTGAGACCATCGGCCGCACTTCTCTGCACAAACTTCTCGAATGGTCGTCTCTAACGACCGTCTTTGTAGCTTCGCGCGAAGGCCCAAGGATCGTTCACTTGCATACAAAGCGTGACCTCAGGCGCTTCCTATCCGCACGCATCCGGCCCGGTGGACCACACGCGTGTCCTTGGAGTCACGTCAAAAGCTGCCCGAAAACTGCCGCGAGATACTTGAAGTCTTTGAACAACAGTCATTGAGTGACACATGGCAACGCAACGCTCGACAAAACGATCGATCGTTGCATATTCCTTTTATTTTCCTACCGTCTTCACAAAAGTCTATGTATGTGATTATTATTATGAAACGATTATTTTGCAACATTGTCGTATTGTCATAAATATTCCAAGCATTTTTGTGGAACATTCATTGGCATTAATCTTTCCCATTGACGAACTGCGCGGATTTTTAGTTTACAACGTTTGTATTTTTTTTTTATCGTAGAAAAAGTCAAATAGAAATTGATTCTTATAAAACCAGATTATTGCGCATAGCGATATTTTCCTTGGTGCGGTGTTCCAACCAAAGCCGTTTATTTTACATGATTTCCGCCCCGACGGGATAAGACGTTAATTAGAGCATATCATATAGCATATTTAGGATAACGTGGATTGTGGAATTTGAAGATGTTACGAAGAGAGCTTTAATCACGTTATGGATATGGAGATCTTTAGCTCTTGTTTTCTTTGTTGAATGGGCGGGCGAGAGGATGAATTGTGAGATTGTGAGGTACTGTAAGTCGCGGAGTCGTATATTACCGGATCATCGAGTTGATAATCTCATTTGATCGGTAAAAACCTATATTTTCACCTATATTTGGAAAGTATCGATATTATTGTGCGATCTGGGTTTTCATTATTAATCTAAAATCATTTTGTAGGCTTTTCTTATATATATATATTTGAAAAATAAAAGAACCAAAGATGTGCTTTTAGCGTATAGTAAAGTTGCGAGAGAACTTAGATGTGATTTATTATTACTATTATTATTATGATTGTATCATTAGTATTCTCATGATCCTAAATGATCCTATGAAAGTTCTATTTTACTGACCAGCGAATTCGCACGTATCGCGATATATGTCGGCGGCACTACGTCATTATTTATGTATCAATCCAGAAATTCACGTACAAACATAACAATCATAGCGCGACAATTTGTTGTACTTTTATGTCCGCAAAACATGTGCAACTGAACACACAAAAACCGATTTAAGTTGCAGACTTAAGTCTTGCATCAAGATTTTGTCACGGATTTTTTTTATCTTAAGCATTAAAACTTTAAATAATTTTTGGTTTATTATAATTAATTATCCTTCTGTTTTTTATACTTTTCCAAACTAGAAAGTTATTCAATTTTAACAATTTTAACGATTAATATAACAATATTTGATTTTCCGTGCTATTCAGTAAAATGTTTGAGTTACTATATTTTCTATATGATTTTTTTAAGATTCTGCGGAATTTGCAAACAAGAATTTGGAACGGTTTTCGGATAGATTTTGCAAATTTTTACTGTTATACTAAAGAATGGTTTGTGAGAAATATCAGAGTTCTTTTTACAATAACGTAAATATCGGAGAAGTTACAGTAATTTTCGAACTAACTCCAGCACGAAACGCCTTGCGCATTTTAGAGATTAATAACCTTAAAGACTGGTTGCCGACCATAATGTGGAAATTTGTGTGTAAGTATTACATAACTAAACATCTCTCACACAATTTATATAAAAATTTTATCATGAAACGTTCGTCAGTAACAAACCTCAGACACTTACGATTGTATATACAGATTGTTACAATATAAATCGATATCCGCAGATATTATACTGTTACATTGGCACTCCACTGACAAGTGTCCTGAATTATTGCCTTGATAATTTTTAAGAGAAAAATAATGGACATAATATTGAGTCATTTTTACGTACCGTTCATTGTATGTTTTATTTTCTAAACATTATTCAATGTCAATTAACACAAAAATTATTATTATCGCACGTATTACGATTGTACTTGAATTAAATTGAAGGCCCTTGAAACATATTAAGCTTGTTATTATTTCAGTGGTTGCTGATGAATCACTTCTTTTCCCGCAAATGCGCGTATGTGTGTACCGCGATAAACATTATACGACTATTTCCACCAGAAACTTCCTTCCTGCATGCATTACTGTTTTATAAAACGACTACTATTAATAACTTATGTTATAGAAAAACAGGATGTGGTTATAATGTTGATACTAATGACTTCAATCAGTATATGCGGTTACAAGTATGCATCATTTCATTCCAATGTTTCTTGATTCTTTGAAAAACAAGAGAATTTTTTCATAACTTTCATAATTTTTTTCTTACAACTTTAATTTAATATAATATACTGAAGCAACATTATAGAAAAAAATATGAAATTGATGTAAAGCCAAAGAATCAGCTTTTTATGCAGTTTGGTCAAGAAAAATATTTGATAATAAAATACTGATATAATAAGTATCAACAAAATTATTATCGCGTAGTGACAAATAAAAAAATTAAGTAAAACTATATTTCCCGAAAGAAATTATTATAAAAAAAGTATTCAAAATTAAGAAATAAAAAGTACCGATAAATTGATAAAGAAATTTTATGTTAAAAAATTTGTGATTTACTATTTTCTATAAATTTAAAACTATTATTTTCAAAAGTTAATAATTGAGTAAAGAAAATATTGTATAAATATTTCAAACACCTGTGTGTAAAATTATATCTCTTGCATATTGAAAATTATCGACATCACAAAATTTTTAATAATTAAAAGAATTATTTTTGAGTTTAGTTTTCAATCTTTACTAATATTCATATTTTAGATGTGCAGCTACATAATTTCAATTATAAAATTGGTAACATAAATTGGTAAGTTATCCACGAAAAGTATCGACGTGGTTCAAGTTTCTCGGAAGTGAGATGTCACTAAGGTAACTAAAATTGATGCAGGTAACAGTACCGAAGGAAGGTAAGCTGAAGAAAGGTAAGTTACTCAAAAAACATCTCGAATTCAGGGTAAATTCAGGTTTCTTAGAATTTACGTTTCCCTCTGTTAGTGTTATGAACTGTTGTACTATCAACTGGTAATACGTACAAATCAGGAGTACTATAAGCGATGTAGAAAGATGAGAATTCTTATAGAAGGTGGCGCATCAGAACTGGAGCTCACTATTACGATGGTTATTAAGGCGCAATTCTTTAAATATTGATTGAAAGTGGGCTAGAGTGGGTGGTGCTCGGGGGAGGCTAGAGGGATAAAAGTGGAAGGTGGAGGCTGGTCGAACTGGCGAGATGAGATGAGAAGGTTGACCGAGAAGGGGAGACCATCTATTATATATGATGGGCGCGGTCGCTCTTTATGGATTTTTTTTCATTAGAAATGTGAGCTTCCATGAAGATAAATTTTTAATTATCGAGTTTCCGCCAAGTTTGATTAAAACATTTTTTAATCTTGCAATATAGCATACTATTAAATAGTTATAAATTGAAAAAATATTTTGAAATTAATTACCTTTATAATATTCAAATAAAATAATGTATGCATTAAAAGAATATAATTAAGTTATAAAAGCTGCAAATTTTTGCCATTGGCAATTGGTTCAATATTACCGTTGTTGAAATATAACGCTTTAAATTTTTCGCAGTATACAGATTTGCATTGAAAATATGTGTAACTTATTATAATTTTGCTTTAATTGGATACACATTTTTTAATGAAAAATATTAAAATATAAAATTACAATACTTAAAGAAACTACGAATTGTCAAAGTAAGTGGCACATATCTATTCTTGAAGATATCAATGCTTAAATGTTTGATTATCATCGCGACTTATTAAAATTAAAAATTTTCTATTATTTCTTTAATGTGTGTGTCATCACATATATAGTTCTACTCATAAATAAAATATTTCTTTACTGTATATTGCTTTTTCTCCGTTTTTCAGCAAATATGTGTAAAATCTAAACAATCTATCATCTATCATTTTTATTGCTTAACATCCTATTTGTTCTAAAAATCGCGAATGGCTAGAATTAATAATTGCGATTCCTTCCGGAATCTCTAAGAACGGCCATTTTTTCGAAGGCGTCCGAGAATGTCGCCTAGCTTTTGTTTTGCCTTTAGCGCGACCGCCACCGCCATCAGTACCACCCTTGTATGTTTCCCCTCCGCTTATCCCCTGCCGCCACGCACAACCCGCTTCAGCGACCCTCTTTTTTTTCGGACTGGATGTTGCGGAGCGAGAAAGATGAACAGAGGGATCCCTATGGATTTTTTTCCGTACCGCGAGAGCGCCCGCTCTACGCCGCTCACTCCGTACTTCTCTGTTCGTGATATTTTAAGGGCTGCAGTAACGCCTGGTGGCAGTTCTAAAAAAATTCAACCTCCAATTTGTAAGGTTGCCGGCCTGTTTAATTGCGATATCCAATTCCTCCTCGCAATCCATCTTTTTTTTTCCTCCTTTTCCAGCTCACTCTTCTCTCCCGCTCTCGCCCATCTCTCTCGCTCGCGGTTTTCGAGGCGTCGAGATGGTTCATAAGGGCTGCTCGCTCGTTAATCTTCCGAGACGTTTTTTTCTTCCTTTTTTTTTACCATACCGAGGCACGACGTTGCCTCGCTCGGGAATAATAATGAGACTAATCCGCGCGACACACCTCGTACATTAATTCCTCGCACGAAACGCTCCTTTCGAGCCGGCCACTCAAAAGTTACGGCGATACGAATCGCGATTTTTTTTTAATAGCGACAATTTGAAGGGAAGAAGGGCGACAGTATCTCGAAGTATAAATGGAAGCAGCGAAAGTTGTCGTACTACGAAGAACGACTATTTCTTCGCGTACATCAAATATAACGCTACATCGGATCTTAACATCTCGCATGTTTTTATCAAAATTTCCCACGTAATACATTTACAAGTTTAATCTATTTATATACCGTTGTTGATTTATTCTAGTTATTTCTACACAACAAACGTGGCAAAGTATATTTGACTCTCTAAAAATAGTAAATAAAATTTTCTCACTCATCTTCCAATATATTCGAACAAGTTTTCCGTAACAAGAAGCAACTACGTCGACTGATTTGCTATAAAAAAAAAAAAAAAAAAAAAAACTGTATTCAGTGGGCGAACATAATGCTGGAGTTTACAATTCCCCTCGCGCGGTTAAATCGTGCCACCCCTTTCTACCCTTGTGCGAGACATTACGTAACCACCCCTCGGTGCGACCGGTCTAATTGTGATATCGGTTTTTTTCGCTCCCGGCTTTTTTTCTTATCCTTTTTTCAACTCATCGCCGCGTCCCGCTTGCTCGCTCCTCTCGCGCGCGGTTTTTTATCCGTTATTTTCCCGCCACCCGGTAATTATGTGGGCGCGGCGGACCAAACAAGGGAAGAAGTCGACGTGGTAAGGAAAAAAAGTCGCTTTGCATATTTAAATCCCGCTTGTAGAGCGAACGGGGCAAGCAGCGGTGAAGCACAAAGAGCGAGTGAGAGAGGAAGATGGGGCGAAAAAGGGTACGTTTTCCGAGCTGAGCTACCCCTACGACGACGAAGCGAGATGGAGAACAGCGAGGGCGCGTGCGCCACGACAATGGGTCGTGTTTGCACACCCGAAAATTGGCCGACGCAAAAAAAACGGCAACTGTCTCCGCATGAGACAAAAACTGCTTAGGGAAAAAAAAAAAACAGTAAAAGGGGAAACGATTAATCGGAGGACACGCGCTAACTACTCCCGATCTCGTCACGCTGGTGCTTATTCAAAGGGTGGTTCACTCTCGAATGAGACAGTTACGAGACGATATGTCACAGAGATATTAAACAACTCTTCGATATTATTCGAGATTCAAAGTGCTGAATTTTGGTTGTATATCCAGATAACGGTATTTCATAACACATTTCAATTATTTTGTTATAATTGCGACTAAATGTAATTATTGTCCTTCTGCGTTGAATATATCTTTATCATTAATCGAGATTGTAATAAATGCATGTAAGAAGAAGTGTTCAATTATATAAAAAGCTAAAAATGGATAAACTCACACTCATCAACGGTAGAATACTCATTCGGCTGTTAACAGCGTAAAGTTTTCTGCGTCGCAGGTTTCTATCCTGAGCATTTCATCGATCTGTAACAAATAAATAACTAAACTTAGCTTCTTGTTTGTTTTTGTACTAAAATAATATCACTTTTCGTCCGCTCTTTAATCGCAACATTCACTGAATTAATTAGAACCGCAAAAATAATTTTTCCCGGCTGCTGCCGACCGATAATGCATCATGCGCATCGACAAGCAACAAGATACGTGAACGTAGGCCAGCATCGATCGCGGGGATTAGCCGGATCCAATTTTCCGCGGGCGATAAATTAGAATTTATGAAATGAGCGTGAAAGGCGGCGCGCGAGTCCTTCGAGGGTAAGCTCTCGCGAGGGAAGTCCAGTCTCTCCCTGCTATCCACGAATACCTTCTTCGCCCCCGCGAGCCTCTCCCCCTTCTCAACCGGAACTAATAGTTTTTCCTCTGTTTTTTTTCACACGATATCCCGTGGTGCCCGACAGAACTGCATCGTTCTAGTCGTCAGCAATTTTCGTGCTGACTCTCATAAAACTCATTATTATATCTGCGTTGGCTAGAGAGAAGATAATTTCATTCTCGTAATATAACTTATTCTTGTATGAAATATCTTATATTATTTATACATTTTTATAAAATAGTCTGAGAGATATATAATAATATATATTGTATAAGTATTCTGTTAAAATTTATTTAAAACTAATGAAAAATACTATTTTCTCTTCATTTTACTTTAATTTTTAATTAACTTTCAGCTTAAAAATCTTAATATTGTTGTGAGATTGGTAAAAAAATTTATCGCTATCAAAATATTATGTTATATTATTTTTAAGGTTATATTATTTTATAAGCTTATATTATATAAGGTTCTATTTTTCTAAAATCAATAACGAGTATTTTTCTTTTTCAATTTCTTCTTTAGATAGTCTTGTTATATGCTATAATGTTTATCAATCATTATAAAAGTATAGCACATTCATGGAGAACACTCCATCTTGATGCGCGGAGAACTAGTCGAAGCGTTCGATAGACATCGAGGACCGACAGATGTTTCCCATTTTTTCACACTCCCTCTCCTCTCTTTCGAGAGACGGAACGCCGTTATTTTCGCAAAAAAGTACCCTGAAACCGATCAGCCGCTTCCGCACACACGTGATCATGTCCCGTTTCACGAACGGATGTTTCATCGACCAATCGTTCATTCCCTTTCGAGGGATTCAGAAAACGCTTCGTTGAACAGTTTGTAAGCATCGATCTTGCATTGCTTATTGTTTTCTTCTTTTCAGTTTATATATTTAAGTCACTGCATATGTCACGAATATAAATAAATTTTTGTATAAATGTGTCTTATTTTAAAATAAGAAAAAGAGAGAAAAGCTATAAAAATTTATTGCATAAACTGTTAGTTTTATTCTGTTAAAATTTTTTTTAAATAGCACAATAGACATTAAAAATCCTGATACTTTAATAAATGTTTAAAATATATTTTCCGCTGTAACGAAAATCTTGTCACTGCGCTCTATTTCCGATGCTGTGCTTCACAAAGGAACAGAACGTAACTTAGGTGGCCGTTAATTTTTTTCGTGAAGATTATACGATAGTTGGTCATTTTTCTGGGGAGAGAGCCGTGTAATCCCGTCGTGATACATACAGATTCGGGAGACTTTTCCTCGAGAAAAAATCTTGGAAACCCCGTAATCCTGGATGGACAAGAATAACGAGTGTTTGATTACGGGCACGGTAGGGCTTCGAAACCACCCAGCGGCTGGTAAAGTCCGGGGGGTAAGGGGGTTAGGCAACGTGAGAATAAAAAAAAAGCTGGGGCACGCGCTCTTCGGGATAGCGTTTTGTGCGCTATCCCTCGTAGGGACGTCTAGAAACGAACCTTATTCATGATTCATTACTCTAAAATAAATTAATCGGTTCTTTTTTTGAGTGGTAATGAAACCGAATACTCAAATTAATTTTATTGATTTAATCCTCTTTTATGATGATTGATTAGTAATTTGTAATTAATTTATTACGACGTAATTGGCATGCGTATTATACTTTTATTTCTTCCGCGCATAATCAATCAATTAATAATATGCAATAATAAGATTAAATTGATACTTTAACATTCTAATAACATTGATCATAATAATCTTGCGCTATTATTTGTTTAACAATCATCATTATTGTTCAGTACGATTAAATAATTGTCTGATTAAATAATAATTATAACAGTGGAGATTTCTCATCGAAACAAGCTTTATAGAAAAACATATTTCTCTGGATAATCGCATATTACCAATTTTATAAATATTTCACGTGTGAACTTTGCGATCAATTCGTATCCCTCGCTACTGGGTAGGTAGGTGAGTAACCCCCTTCGGTTTTTATACAAGGGTTTTCCTGAAGGGGGGGACTTTTTTTTTACTCTGAGGGGCACCCGTGCCTGGGGTGGAGTCCTTTTTTTTTATAGACCAGCATCTGTACCCTCGTGGCTAAGAGAGAAAAATTTTTCAGTCAGCCAGTCACTCACCTGGCCTACTTCGGGACGGTGAGCCCCGGAAAATTTCGTTTCTCGTCTAGCGTCACAAGTTTCGCGTTTACCGAGTGCAAGCTGTGAACGTTTAAACTTGTGCTTTCATCAATTGCAAACGTAAGATAGAAAATAGTGTGCGCTACGAGTGTAATGGAGAAAGCATTCTATTGATATGTCACAAAATTCAAAAAGTTTGGAATCATATTGATTATTGATAATAATTGATTTCAGCGAGTTTTACGCAAATACGTCGCAGAAAAGATAAAAACATTTTGTTTGTAATAAATATGTGCGCATATTAAATTGTATCGATAATTATGAATCAAATATGAATAAGTACGAAATCTTAATATAAATTTTTAAGGTAAAGTATCATAAAAATAAAGTAAAAAGAGTTATAAATAACACAAAATATTCGCAATTGTACGATTTTTAAATATATTATTTTTTATAAAAGCATTTCATGGTGCATTAAACGACGAAAAAAACGTACGCGTATATAAATTCGTAAAAAAATTTTAGGAGGCATTCATGATTCACATCCACGATTGAAAGCTCCCGATGTAGTATGAAGGAAGGACAAAAGCGTGGTATGAAAAATTCGAGACACGAGGGACACAAATTCGGGCCGGCCGCTTTTTATCCTCCGCCTTCGTAACCTTCCATTAAAAAGAAAACGCTTTCTCCCGCGCCCTTACGCTCCCCTGAGATTAAAACATTCGCGAGCGACTCGTGAACTCGTTTGTCGTTTATGCGCGCCATCGTCCCCTCCACTCCTCTATTCGCGCCGACAAACGATCCTTTTCGCTCCTCATTTCTGGCGACGAGTCACGTAACGAAGCGCCGAGCATCATGCAGCTAATTTTCCGCAATTTCTCAAAAAAAGAAACGCCGGCGGGACCTCTTCCACGACGTCACCTCTTAAAACTCACCTCCGGTCTTGCTGGGAAGCGGGAGGTGGCCAGAAAAGAGCGGTGAGAGAGAAAAAATAAGATAAAGTGAGAAAAAGAGAGAGAAGAAAAGGCGAGAAAGGAAAGAAAAATAATCTCTTATATACGACGCCCACGGTGTAATGGAGGGTATTTCGCGCTGCAAAACACCCGATCCACCCCCATGCCAACGTCCCTACCCACTCTCTCGCCTTTGGTAATCCTCGCCGCGTCGCGCCTGAAAATAATATCTATCTCTCGCCGGCGCGAGAGGAAGAAGGACGAAATCGGGGAACGTGCCTGGGAAAGAGAGATACACAGTACTCGCTGATGTATCCGCGCTGTGCCATCCAGGAAGAAACGAAATTTCCAGACCGACCTCCCGACTGAAATCGAGACCATCTCGCCTGTTTAACAATAATTAATACAGACGATATTAATGTTGCGGAGGGACGTGTATTTCGATGCTAAAATAATGCAAATGATTATGACTCGTTCATCGCCTAAGTAGTCAAAATGCGCTCTGCAAGACGCGATTTGATTCGATACAATGTAACAATGTGGATTTTATCGATCGGCTTACGGAACGGAACGAACGCTCGCCGATAAAAGACGAAATGGAATCTCGCGGCGGAATAATAAATTCGAAGGCGGTGGAACAAAAAACAGGAATAATAGGCGCGAGAATCGTGGCGGTAAATCAAGCGGAATCGTACAACGATAAATAAAGGTAAATGACGGTGGTGATTCATAATTAAGGAGCTGGAGACCGGAGCCGCGACAAGGCGACCGTGACTGTCCGGTAGTGAAAAAAAAGAGCTAGCATGTGTTGAAGAAATTGTGATAGAGGAAGAAAGAGAGACAGAGAGAGGCCGGACGATTCTTTTGTACTCTAAAAAGCAAATATCGCGATCTCCTTTAATGCTAACGCTTAGCTGCCCAAAAGTTAAGCTCTTATCGTAATTACGACTTTAAATATTTAAAGTAATAGATTTTAAAACAATTAAAATCAGATATGATTATAATCAATATTGATATTTACCATCATTTTAATAATTATTAAAGATAAATTACCACATTATTTATAATCGTTCTTTTTCGAGCAAACCAGCAATACGTTTATTCACAAATTTTAAACATGCATAAAATATAAAAATACAATAAATAGTATATTTTTGTTCATCAATTTAATTTGTATTTTTAATTGACCTAATAATTTTAATAGGTCTCTATTTTTTATTTGCCGTTTTAATTCACAATTATTCTTTATCGTTATGGATTGTGCTTTGTCTTGTTTCTTATTCAGACGTAAAATTAGACGTAAAGCTGAGTTATTTTTTACACGGATTATACACTTATCCCATTATGACAGCATAATGAATATTAAACGCGCAAAAATCTGCGAGCAACGCGAGCATTACGGCGTTCGTTTGAATTGTATGCGCTCAGAAGTTTGCCTGCCAAAAAATTAGGAATTCTGCTTTCTCCCGCCATAAGAAAATGCATAGTAAAGTTACGTTTCAAGAATTCGAGTGAATTGTAACACATTCGAGGGCAAACTAGCATCCGCCCGTCGAGAAAAACATTCCTGGCATATT